ATGGAAAATATTCTAAACAGCCTGTAGGGATAAATACTTTTGGTAAAATGCCAAGTGTTATAGCAACGTATCTAAACTTGCCCAATCCAACGGCTTTTACAGGACACTGTTTTAGGAGGTCTTCAGCCACTATGCTGGCAAATTCTGGAGGAGACCTTCTAACGGTCAAAAAACATGGAGGATGGAAATCATCTGCTGTTACAGAAGGCTACGTAGACAGCACAATAACACAAAAAAACAAAATTTCTAATAAAATTTTGATGGATGACAGTATGCCATCCACTTCCAAACAAAGCTACAATTTTACCGTTGACAACTCTAATGAAGAATTAGTGGAACCACTCGACAGTGAAACTAGAGTTACACAAAATATTTCAACCTCTTTACTTGAAAAGGCCAAATCCATACCACTCGAAGCTGAAAATAGGGTTACAGAAGTAATATCACAACATTTTTCAAACTCTGTGCTGGAAAAGGCCAAAACCTTAAGTTTTGGTAATTGCACATTCAATATTAATAATCATAAGAGTTAAAAACCTATTTTTTTAAATATATCTTCATTTGTTAGTCATTTTGTTCTGTAAGAATTATAAATTTGTAAAGTTCCAATAAATTTATTTTTGTTGCTGTGTACAATTTTTGGCACATTTTACTTTTTTTCACTAGTGCGTAAAGTAAAGTACTTTTTTTCACTAGTGAAAAAAAGTAACTTTTATATTTCTAATATTAGTGGATTATGTGTACGGTAGTACAAAAAATATTGTATGCCACTCGTGTGTAAAGTCCCGTTTTTGACTCATGTGATTGTCGCACTCGCCTACGGCTCGTGCGACAACATTCACATTCGTCGAAAAAGGGTAACTTTACAACTTGTTGCATAAATAACTATTTCTCTGCTATTTTCTTTCGACGTTATTCAATAAACATTGGTTACTTTTATGAACCTCTACTAAAGATACCCATAAAATATTTTGCTGAATATCCGAATTCTTCTATATCCTGGGATATAGACGGACATTTGGTTGGATATTCACAAAATATATTCTGTGGGTATCTCTGGGATTTTTCGTATTGTCTGGAAGATTAGATATTTTGCTGGATAATCCATAGGATATCTTCTATATTCTGGATATAGACGGACATTTGGATATCCATATTAGATCCACGGAATATTTCTGATATCCATAAAAGATATTCTGTGGATATCTCTGGGATTTGGTGTGTTGTCTGGGTATACAATCAAAATTGTTTATTGGGTGCAGTGTTTTTATAGTCCTTCCATTATCAATTGCAGAACAGTTATGTGGGGAATCATCAATATTTAATATATAGGGCCTAGGGTGTATCATTTTTAAGCAACTTTTTTTTTTCAACTAAAAACTTTCAGGAAGGTGAAAAAAGAAGCCTCTAAAAATTTGAGCTCATAATATTATCATTTAGTGGTGCCTGTTCTTAACTTTCCATTTTCCATCTAAATAACATGGAAAAATTTTTTTTCTTTTTTCTTATTTTTGTAGCTTGATATTTGAGCATTGTAAAAATAAAGTGAAATATTATTTTGATAGGAAATTGAACGCTCTACAAAAAGTTCTAATATATTTTTTTTATAGGGTGAGCCGTTCTGAAGATATTCAAACTTAAAGTTGCAAATGTATGAAATTAGGACTTTTATTTTATGTCTTAAAACTTATTTTCAAGAAAACATCATTGTTTTTATATAGAAAGAAAATAAAGACGCACAGAAGACAAAAATTCACCAGAAATATTTTTAAACAAAAATATGAGTGACTTTGTTTCAAAACAATCATTAAAACTTTTTGACAAATTTGATTTGCCGTATGGCTTTTTGGATGCAGATGTCCTAATTTTGCCAGATAATGAAAGTTATCAAGAGAATTTGGAGTTTTTCGAAAAATTGAAAGTGGTCAATGACGTTGCAGGATATGGCGTCGCATTAGTAAAAGAATATAATAGATGCCTAACTAAAGATGAGGAACAATTTTAATATTTATTATAAGTGGTAAAGGAGCACCGACGAAAATATCCAAATTGTAATGAAAAAACTTCACCAAATATAGTTACATCATTTAATTCTAATAAGACATTAAAATAACTATTAGTATCAAAATTTTAGTATGCTAATTGTTAAAAAGTTTTTTTAATCTATAAAATAATAATTCGACTGAACCTAATTCATAATTACTTTTGTTTAACAGTTAATCAAATAATATCTAAGATGTATTTTTTTTTATTTTAGCTTTATTAAAAGATTAGCGCACAAAAACCAGTTTTCTGATTAAAAATAATTTTTAAGACATAAAAAAGTCATCAGTATTAGTTTAATAAAATAAAAGTCCTAATTTCATACATTTGCAACTTTAAGTTTGAATATCTTCAGAACGGCTCACTCTATGAAAAAAATATATTAGAACTTTTTGTAGAGCGTTCAATTTCCTACCAAAATAATATTTCACTTTATTTTTACAATGCTCAAATGTCAAGCTACAAAACTAAGAAAAAAGAAAATTTTTTTTTCCATGTTATTTAGATGGAAAATGGAAAGTTACGAACAGGCACCACTAAATGATAATATTAAGAGCTCAAATTTTTAAAGGCTTCTTTTTTCACCTTCCTGAAAGTTTTAAGCCTGTTTTTTAGTTGAAAAAAAAAAGTTGCTTAAAAATGAAACACCCTAATACGCACGGTACTCATGCCAAATTAAGAAACGAAAAATAATGTTTACTCCCCTTATACAAAGCGGTAAATATTAAACGAACCATCAGTTGTTTACCAATGAAAACATCGAATCGTAAACTTAAATTCACTGTATTGGCCGAAGGTTTACGGAAGGCAGGTGTTCGAAAATATTCCTGGAAGACAGTCTGCGATATCAGTGGAGTACTGTCGTGCGGTGTGTTTTGTATGTGTGGTTGGTTTAATTTAAATATTTTTTAATAAATATAAATATGGCATTCTTTAGACCATGGGCGAATGAAGAAAATGAAATTGCACAGTGTAGTGAGATTAAAGACAGGTATGACTTTAACGATAAGGATTTAGATATACAAACACAACAAGTTATTTTAAATATATTCGAATGTTTAAAAATGGAAAATATTCAGCAGTCTGATAATGCGTTCATAATAACAATTGCTGAATTAACTGAAGTAAATAAATTTTCCGTTTATCCGGTAGTCACGAAAGGGGTTGCTGTGGATTATTCATAAAATCGAAAAACATGTAAAGAAAAACTGAAATCAGTTGACAGAGCTACCCAAGATTTTATACGAAGGACAATTTATAGTTTATATAAGGAGAACAGGGTTCCGACATTGGAAGTAATACAGCAAAAGGTGGCAGATTTTCCAGGATACACTTATACCAGTTTGGAAACATTGCGTCAAGTTTTGTCAGCATGTGGTTTTAAACACAAAAAATTGAATAAACAGATGGCAATCACCGAATCGTCAAGGATAGTTCAATGGCGACAAGATTATTTGCGTCAGACAAAAGGCTACATAAGTTCTAATAGACACATAATTTATCTAGATGAAACATGGTTTGACAGTGACGATGTAGTAAATTTCGGTTGGGTTGGCAGTAGTAAAAATTGCTGTTTGAATGGGCCATGTTCTAAAGGGAAACACATTATAATAGTACACGCTGGAAGCAAAGACGGTTTCGTGCCTAATGCTTTATTATTATCTGCTAAACAAATTAAAAACTATGCAGCTGATTATCATGAAGATATGACAGCAAAATTATTTGAAAAACGATTTAATGAACAGCTTTTACCTTACATTCCACCACAGTCAGTAATCGTTATGAACAACGCATCCTACCACTCGCGGCAACTCCTTAAAATACCAAATAGTAGCAGTAAAAAAGCTCAAATTTTAGCTTTTGTCTGAAAAAAATATTCCTATTCCTGCCAGTGATAGTAAAAAAGGACCAACAAACAAAGAATTGCTTACTATTATTAAAGGTATAAAGTTAGAAAAAATGTATTATATTGACAAGCTGTGCATACTCTTCTCAGACTACCTCCTTACTATTGCATATTTAACCCTATAGAGTTAATATTGGCAAACTTAAAATCAGAATTACGAAAATGTAATCAGTCTCCAGAACTGAGTAAAGAAGTTGTAGAACTCGTAAAGAAAGTTCTAGCAGCAGACCGCCAAGAGCTTTGGAAAAACTGTGTTGAACATGTTATCAAAGAAGAAGATGAGTATTACCCTCTTTACAACCCATCATAATTCATCCAAATGATGACTCTAGTTCAGAGGATTCAGACTGCCATGATTCTTTATAAAGATACTTTAGAATTGAATTTTTTTTTCTTTTGTTTTATTTGCAAAGAATTTATTTTCCTATATGGTTTTTTCTTTGAAATTTCGTTTTCCAGAAAAAGAACGAATGGGGTACAAAAAGGGTTCAGTTCACGTCTGGTACCCTGTTTAAACCAAACGCCCTTACAGGCAGGTACACTTTACTCGCTTTTTTACGTTTTATAATTTAATATTCAGTTGTAGCAAGTTAACGAGCTATAATGATTTTTTTTAAGCACAAGTAAGATTACAATTAAGTGCATCTGTCTAAATAAGGGCGTATAATAACGTCCAATTTATAATTATTCGATTTCCTTTTAACGAATACTTTCTTGCATATGATATATATTAAAAATATTAATAAAATAAATTTATAAAATGAGGTAGGTATCTACGCCTATGGCAGATCAAACAAAATTGTCGGTAAAGGTTCCGAACGAGTTTTTATGATCTGCAATTGATAATGGAAGAACTATACTTAATTCCGATTTAACTTATAAAATTAAATTCAGTAATATATCAATATAATTAATGCAAAATGTCAATGTAAAGTTCGTCAGAAGATGACAAAAAATAAATAAGATTGATGAAAATAGCCTACAATTACCTAAACTAGTTTAAAAGGTACATTGAATATCGTAAAAACCAATAATTCCAAATTAATTATTTACAACACATAAAGAAATTATTGACAATAAAATATACAGTATATACAATATAAAAATAACACATTCAATATAAAAATAACATACAATAAATATAAAAAAAAAAAATATATAACCATTCAGAAAAATTAAGCTTTGCTCAGACTTTTTGAACTTCTAAGTGACCTACGTCTATTTACTAAAACCTCGTCGCTGCTATTCAAATTTGCTTGTTTTGCATTGTTTTCTTTATCTTCAGGACTAAAAATTACCTTTTTAGGAAGAACATGTTCAACAAATAGAACCGATTTTGTGTGCCGTTTAGCCGATTTAGTCAAATCGGTTTTAAGGATACTTTTACTAGGAGTTATTCCATTGCCAGCTTTAATAGACTGTGTAATCTTCGTCATGGTTAATCCTGGAGAGCTGTGTCTTTTCAATAGTGGTCCTTGCAAAAGAGAAACCCGTAAGCTTCTTCTAGAACTGCTTACTTTTATTGGCGAGGTTATGTTCATATTTTCAGGAGTTTTGGGTTGATTTACTACCCATTGGAAAGGATCTTGTTGTTTGTTTTTATTTTTGGCAGCTTTTATAATTTCCTTCAGAGAAGAAGTTGCAACAGGTTTTTTTGGACGACCCCTAGCTTTCTTTTTAATAACTTTTTTTTCAGGAAGTATTTCCTCCCAATTATTGTCTTTCAATCTTTCCAGGTTATCAAATCTTTTGCCTAAATCCACGACCTGCTGGTATATCATATCCCAAAAACCATGCAGGTCCTCGCAAGTTATAAGCTTCTCTTTAAAAGTACAAAGTTTGCATTGGTTGATGAGCCCTCTGAATTGTTCGAATTTTTTGGCAATAAGCAGCCTGGATTGGCCTGTTGCTACGTTGATCATATCCGTGGTTTCTTCGGTCATTTCGTTTTCTGCTTTGTATTTTTCCCATTTGTCACATATTGTTTCGATTTTAGTAATTTCATTATCCAAGATCTTTTCGAAATATTCAGCACCCGCTCTTGGGCTTGTTATGTCTGTAAAATCCTTGCCATTTGTTATTTCCATAAGTGTCCCACCTAAAAAAGAAGAAAATCACTTATAATTAGTATTCAATGAGGTAAAAATGCTTTATGGCAGCTATTAAAAAACATGTGAAACCATTACTTGGAATATAACCTAAAACCAATAATTTACCTGTTGATTTTCTGATTTGATATTCTTTTCTTGCAGAGTCCTTTCCTCTGGATATCGTTACAAAGGGGCTGACATACACAGGTGTATGCTTCAAAGAGTTCTGCGTTTTCGTAACATTGTCAGCAAATTCGTCAGATTCGTCGATTGAAAATGTCTAAAAAAATCAAAATCTACTCACAAAATATTCTGATATTCTGATACAGATATTAAAATTAGTTTTATTTACTTTTAAAGCCATTCCTCTTCACAAATGCTGTATTTTTGTTGTATATTTTTAAGAGCAAACCTTAAACAATTCAAATTCCCTCTAAACCTTTATTTTTAGTCCGATTTTTGTGAAATTTTTAGGAAATATCAATAACAAAACTTAGGATTGAGAAACCTTTAAAATAAATTTTAAAATATAAACATGCCACTTGTAACATGTGTCGTTATAAAATAATAGTTTAATAGATCATTCTTATATTGTCTGTTGTTTGATTAACATTGCACATCCTACTGACTGCGCCATGTTTCACGTATATTTTACATGCGACTTGTTTTAAGGTTCTGAAACAACTTCTTGTCAAGTATTGGCAAAAAAATTATATTAAGGTGAGAATTTGCATTTTTTTTTTGGAACAAATAAATTATTAAGAAAAATTTGGACTATAAATATATAGAATATACCATACCATACTATATTATAGTTAGTTACAATAAAATGTTTTACTGTTAAAATGTAAATAAAATAATATACTCACATCATTTGTATCAGACTTCTTGTTGGACTTTGGAGTTGTTGTTTTGGTTTTTGGAGTTTTTCTCACAAAAGTTTCATCTTTAGCTTTTGGAGTTTTGTTCTTAGGAGTTTTTGTCTTAGGAGTCTCGGTCTTAGGAGTTTCAGCCTTAGTTATTGGAGTTTTGGCCTTGGATGTTGGAGTTTTGGCCCTGGTTGGAGTTTTGGCCCTGGTTGGAGTTTTGGCCCTGGTTGGAGTTTTGATTCTGGTTGGAGTTTTACTCATGCAATCACTTATGGGCGAATCTAGACACAAAATACACGAGTCTTTGTTTGCGTGCGATTTTCTAGCACTCGGTGGTCTAGGAGTATATTTAGGAGTGCGCCTTGGAGTGTGTTTTTTTATTGGAGTTCTCACGGTTGCTTCTGAATCTAATTCATCCAAACTGTCATCAATAACTATAATACTATTATTCGAATTATTTTCTTCAACATTGTTTGTACCTTTATCTGTTTTTTTAAACCATGGTGTACCCTTACGTTCAGTTATTAATTTGGTTTGAACTTCATTGTTTGGTGTTTCAAACTGGTTTTCTGGAGTTTTAAACCCAAGTGATTTGGGTATATTATCTTTTGGTGCTTTAATCTGACTTTCTGGAGTTTTAAACTCAAGTGATTTGGGTGTATTGTTATCTTTTGGTGCTTTAATCTGACTTTCTGTAGTTTTAAACTCACTATTTTCTGAATTAACTTTCTTCACAAGTTTTGCTTTATTTTGCGATTTAAAATCACGTTCCTCTGTATTTAATTCCTTCACAACTTTTGTTTTAACTGCTTTTTTATTGCCAACTTTATCCTAAAAATCGATATTTACAAAAATATTTTTCTAAAATATGTATCTATTTTGATAGGATAAACTGTTGAGATATCTAATAAACATCTTTGGTATTAAAGATTTTGTTGTAGCTGTTATAATAAATGCGTTACAGAGAAAATAATTCTTCCCTCTCCCTAATGAGAGTGAGGCTATGAGTGACGTCATGCGCATGGCAGACGAAAACTGAACACGGGAGCATCCGGCCCTGGGTAGTATTGGTGTGGAATTTACCTAATCACTTTAGTTTAGCTTCAAAGTTTATGCGATTTGGTCGAGGTTTCGGTACTATATAGTTAAAATAAGTAGTGAAAATGAGTGAGGTAATTAATATTCAACAGTGTTCTTCCTAAAGAAATTTGGACAAATAGGAAACAGTAAAAGTGAAGAGTTGTCAATTTGCGAAAAAAAAAAATACATGTTTAACTGAATCCCGGAAAAAAGCGCAAGGAAATAAGCGCACAGGAAATATCCGCACAGAAAAAAGCGCACAGACATAAACGAACGTGGAAAGATGCGTACACGGAAAAAACCGCACGGGTATAAAAGCACACAAGGAAAAAAGCGAAAAGTACTGTAGTTTATATCTCGTTAAGAATAGGATACAGAACAACTGAAGATTCTCTGAATAAAAATAAAAAAATTAAGTTCTATGAATACATATATCACACATACACTTATATCACAGATATTATGTACACAGAACAACAAATGCATGGGAATGGCATTCTGATTTTAATCCAACTTCTATAATTCTCAACCGAGTTTATACCATTTTGTACATATTTTATTAAATTGTCAAGCTCAATCATATGTTAAAATTAACCCAACAAACTGTTTACAAAAAATTTAAAAAGTATCACAATAAAAAAAATAATTTTATACAATTTAAAATTTTAGATTATAGGAACAATATTTTGATCTAAATATGTTTTTGTAAAAGTTATGCATTTACAGTATTTATCATTCTAATGAATATCTATAATCTTACAAATATTTTTATTCCTAGAAATATTTCTTAGCATTTTAATCCCTTTGAAGCGCGATTATGCCGTAATTGAATGGGTACTTATAGCAGGTACCAGCCTTGTGACGGAAGTGATCGCCCCGAGATTGTTAAATTATTTTTTAATAATCGATTATTTGCAAGTGGTCATTTATTTTTACTAGGGATTTTAAAATTCAGATAGGTACTTATTATTTCATTTATTCGGCGTTGTGACATTATTATATTTCTTGGAATTTATTATTTGCATAATTAAGGCAGGTAAGTAAAGGCGCTTATAAATAGACTACGGAATTTAAAGTTAATTTATTGTGCTCTAATTCTTGAACAAGTTAAGTTGAATTTTTGTAATAAACGAAATGGAGTTTTCGTCTAGTCAAAAAGGCAAGCGAGTTCTTATTTACAATGGTTTTGAATATATACATTTTCGCACAACAAATGAGATAGATACATGGAGGTGCCGTGAAAATCGACAAACTAAGTGCCATTCCTTAATAAAAACGAAGGACAAGGACATTGTACAATATCCAGGCAGTCATTGTCATGATTCATGTCCCCAAAAAGCAGAAGCAAATATCGCCAGAAGCCAAATGCGAGAAGCAATGACAGTGGTGAATGCTACATCTCGCAATGTTATTGGAGATAAATTATCAGGAGTAAGCAATGATGCACTTGCTTATATTCCAAAACAATCGGCTCTTGCCAGAACACTTCGAAATTATCGAGCAGAGAAGCACTTGCCAAATCCATCTACGATGCATTTTGCAATTCCTGACAAATACTCGGACTTAGTGCTGCATGACTCTGGGAGTCGAAGATCCAAACAAAATTTTAATTTTGGGAGATCGCGAATTAACCAAGCCACTCTATTCGGCGACGGAACATTTGATAAAGCACCAACGATGTTTTATCAACTTTATACTTTGCATGCCAAAGTAGGAAATTTGTATCCACCATGTGTGTACATATTGTTACAAACTAAGAATGAAGCAACATACCTACAGATGTTTCAAATTGTAAAAGGGTTAGTTCCAAGCATGGCGCCTCAGAAGATACTTTTAGATTTCGAGAAAGCCTGCATGAATGCTGCAGGGCGAACTTTTCCAAAAGCCGAAATTAAGGGATGTTATTTCCACTTGTGTCAAAGCCTTATAAGAAAAGTTAATGCAGTTGGTTTAAAATCGGAATTCGAATCGAACATCGACACAAAATTAAAACTAAAATCCTTGGCAGCATTATCGTTTGTGCCGTTAGAAGATGTACGAGATAATTTTAATAGCCCTGCAGAAACTTTTCCTGATGAAGAGAGATTTAACGACGTCCTTACATATTTTTTTTCAACTTATATACAAGGTGCCGCCGGAAGAAGTCCACAATTCCATCCGAGAATATGGAACCATTACGATGCCGCTCTTGATGAAACGCCAAGAACGACCAATTGTTGTGAAGGGTTTCACAATGCCCTTAATTCCATATTTAATTGCAGTCATCCGAGCATATGGATGCTTTTCGATGGATTGAGAAGAGATTTAGCATGCCACAAACTTACATTAGTGAACTCCCAAGCTAACAGACTGGAGCCCACCAAAAAGAAATACAGACAACTGTACGCGCTTGTAGCCAGTTCTGTAGAAAAGTATCAAGAAACAGATAACAAAGTATCTTACTTAAGGAGAATAGCCAACTTACAGTAGTACGTCTATTAAAGTGCGTTTATTTTTTGTTACATTATTCATTTTTTCGTTTTTAATGTATTAATATGGAATAAAAATATATTACACTAAAAACCTATAAGCATTTTACGTTTATACCTACATTATTATATAAAAAAAATATAAACACAAATCCATGAATATATTAGTACAAATAGTTGGCGATTATAAAATTAAAATAAAATCAACATGGAATTGCAAAAATATTTAGGTTTTAAAGAAAAAATATGTACCTATAAAACTCGCCATTTTACAAAAAAATGCAAAATCATTACAACCAGAATTTCATAAATATAATTATTACAAATCGTTAACGATTATAACATTATAAATGAAAACAATGATCAAAAATCATAATAGAACTCCAAAAATATTTCGAACCAAAAACCAATTCTATTTATCAATAAAAAATATAGTACACTGAATTTTAAAATTAGCGCGAAACAAAAATAAAACCAGTCTTCAGTAACTTACTTATAAACGTAATTTATTATAAAATATTATGAAATAAAGTTATTATGACAAAATTCCAAAAACCTAACGTTATTCTACGAAGATTCTTAAATTTTGAAAAATTTTAGTTTAATTCAGGTTAAGGTCTATAATAAATAGATATTAATGATATAATCCCTAATTACCTTACAATATTCAAAGAAGATTGTTAAATTTGCAAAACTTTTGTCTAATTAATGTAACGGTCTATAATAAATAGATATTAATGATATAATCCATGAGTACCTAACATTATTCTAAGCAGATTTTAAATGTTAAAATATTAGGCACAGTTTGAGTTTAATTCGTGTCTTTATTTAAAACGGTTCGACTATCAATTCTTGTAAATGCCGTTTAGTGACCCTTTAATTCTTTTCGAAAAGTTTCGTAAATTTCGCCAACTTAAATGGGAAAAATGAGCTGCCAAACTGTTTCAACATCCATGCATATGCAAATGAAATGTCTGTTTCCGTTGCCTTCTGCTTGTTAAAAGACGAAAGTATACAAGTTACTTGAAACTGCAATGTGGCAATCTTAGATAAAAGAGACCGAAGATGTAACATTGCACACTGCGCATGTTGTCTGTTTTAACTCCAAGTAACCCACCAATTGAAAATCATTGTTTGCACGACGCCACCCGAATTGCTCCGATTTCCCATTCAACGCTCACCTCCGCCTGAGTTTCAATCACCATTGACAGCTGTTTTTGATTTATTTGTTGGTGTTTTAGCAATTGAAAGTGTTCTAGTTATTCAATTTTAAACTCAAAATGCCACGATGTATCTTAAGAAATTGTATATACTTATAATACAAGTACCAATGTTATGAAATATAAAAAATATATTCGTTTTCAGCGGTAAATATTTATTAACGTTTTGACATAAAGCGCCATAATCCTTTGAGCTGAATACATCAGATCCGCATTAAGGGATTTCAATAAATATTCATCAAATACATTTCAGAAAACAGATTTCGTATTACTTACATAAATTTACAAAAGGGTAAAATTTTAAATATTTAATTTAAATAAGAAGTAAATAGACATTGTTGCTATAGAGAAAGTAAAAGTTGAAAAGTCTTTTGGTAGGTAGAGAGGGGGTAAACGTCAAACCACGTCGGGCGGCTCCGAGAATTTCATAGTAATGTTTACCTGCCAGTGTCGTTTCATAGAATAAGTAATTTTAAATTGTTATCGGCGGAACCGGACAATCGCATGTATTTATGGATTATAAATAATTATTAAACATGTATTATAATATTCAAATTTTAATTTTACAAAATTTCAACAGCTATTCACAATTTATTAAACTATTTACTCGAAATTGTTATTAACATCTATAAAATAATTTTGTACGCCAATGTATCGTGTCCACTTCGGTGAGATCCGCTGACAACCTGTCAATTTATGTGTATAAAGTGGGAGAACTGGCAAAAGCATTTCCAACTTTTACTTCTGTTCTAACGAAATTTTGTTTTTAAAAAGTAGTTTTATAAGAATATTTACTAAAGGTGGTTTTTAGCTCTTTTTGGTAGATAAATAAGAAGTAAAGAAGCATAGTTGATTAGTAGTATTTTTATAAGAATATTAGATAAACTACAGGATGAATAACTTAAAATTTCAAGATAATGTAATAATCGATTTTAAAGGAAATACAAAAAGAAAGTAGATTTATACAAAATAATCGATTAATTGAAAATAATCGATTTTTTTTTTAAAATCGATTTATCGTTTAATCGGTGTTTTAATTAATCGATTATTTTCGATTAATCGATTATTTTCAAATTTTCAAAGGTATTATATGAAAATAATTGATTGATCGAATATAATTCGTTATTTTATATAACCAATATTTCGGTTATTTTTTAGAAATATCGATTTATCGGTTAATCAGTTTTTTAATATTTATTAATTATTTTTGATTTATTGATTTTTATCGATTATTTTAGATTTTTCAGAGATAATAGAATAATCAATTTTAAAGGAAAATAATCGATAATTCGGTTATTTTTTTGGAAAATAGATTTATCGTAGAATCGGCTTCTTAATTAATCGATTATTTTCGGTATTTCAATGATAATCGAATTATCGATTTTAAATGAATTACAATAAAAATAAATTATTGATAATATTCGATGGATCAAAAATAATCGATTTTTTAAAATAATCGACAATTCGGTTTTTTTTTTGAAAATCGTTTTATCAGTTAATCGACTTTTTAATTAATCGATTATTTTCGATTTTTCAAAGATTATCAAATAATCTGTTTCAATGGACGAAAAAAAAAAGGATTATTTGAAAATAATCGATTATTTAAAATAAACCATAATTTTTTGTAAACACTGATTTATCGGTTAATTGGCTTTTTAATTAATCGATTATTTTTGATTTTTCAAAGATAATCAAGTAGTCTATTTTAAAGGAAATACGAAAAACAAATAGATTGAAAACAATGGATTGATCGAAAATAATCGATTATTTTCAATGATCGATTATTTATTTCGACAATCACTCATCCTCTATATTAATTAATATTCCTAAAGAAAGAAGCTGAGGTTACAATACAAAACAGCATTTTCTCATTTTGACTAATTTTTAATATTATGTAATAGCCGTAGAAAAAATATAATGTTTGACTCAAAAGGTTTGATTTGCAGTATTCGCCTGCGCACATGCTTTTTTTATAATACTCGTAGACAATGAGTACCATTTCTTGCTCTATTAACAATATTCTATTTCAACATTTTATTGTAGTATCTTGCTGAGAAGTCCGTAGTAAATAAACGCTAACGAAATATTCTATAAAAGGTCTTCTTTTTACATAAAATGTTGTGATGTTAATTTTATTTCATAATACAAAATTCCATTAAACATATATTTTAAATAAATCTAATAGTTCATTAGGATGCTAATAAACAAAGTCCGGTCCTTGTCACAGATTTCGGGTTTCTGCCCAGTTCCCCCACTCCGTTAACATTTCTTTAGAAATTGGCAACATTTGCGCAGGTTAAACACCGGTGTATGTTATATCTCTGGTCTCTTTTATCTAAGGTGGCAACTTATAAAGAAAGAGATTGACGGCATGGGATTTATCTTGAATTAAAAATTATTAACAAAAAAAACAACTAATAAATGAAATAATAAGTACCTATCTTAATTTTATAATCTCCAGTAAAAATAAATGACCACTTGCAAATATTTCGTTTTAATTAAGATACACTGTATGAGATAAGTAAAATATATACCCCCATCAGCATAATTTCCTCGCGGCGAAACTGATCGTTATGATTTTTTAAAAGCGGATTTGGTGGAATTAGTCTGTCCTTAACAATCCATAATGGAGATATATAAATATTATAAACCGTATTAACTTTATTGTGAAAGTATTTTAAGAATTTTTTTAAACTTGTCTAATATTTTTCACCTGGAATATAACAAACCAAGGTACAGATCTATTCTTTGTATCGTACTTATAATAATTCCGAATAAATAACTGAGTAGATTCCTGAATTATCAGCAAAAATTATGGTAACTACTGTAAACAACGATAATTAAAGTTTTAATCAAACAACAAAAAATTGTAACAAAATAAATGTAAACTGCATGCACTTTGCGCTTTTTTCAATGTGCGCTTTTTTCAATGTGCGTTTTTTTCCATGTGCGCTTTTATACCCGTGAGCTTTTTTCCGTGTGCGGTTTTTTCCGTGTGCGCATATTTCCTCGTGCGGTTATTTCCTGTGCGCTTTTTTCTGCGCGCATATTTCCTGTGCGCTTATTTCCTTTGCGCTTTTTTCCGGTCACCGTTTAACTACCTACCCTTACTTTATACTTCCAGCCTCTCGTTATGTTGGTAACAATCGAAACGGTAAATAACAAAATTTTGACTTTACCGAGTCATCCCTGCTTTTGTGTCGCCAATTCTTAGACTATATACACATAGTTTATACGGGGTTTAACGAAAAATGGCGCCCAAAAACAGTATTTTCAAATGATCTCCTTTTCGACTCATTTTTTTTACAAAAATAGTTTTGTAACAAATTAAACTAGAGAAAATTTTCTACAATTATGTAGTTATCTACCTTTTTTTTGTAAAATGATTAGTTTTATCGCAATAACGAACCAAAGTCTACTATTCAGTATATCTATGTCAAAATTGTACAATAACTGGTTATGATTAAAAACTGTAATAAAAAAGTTAAGATTTCCACAATTTAATTTTCTGAATTAGTTTTAGTACAAAATAAAATAATTTTTGACTAAAAACTGCGTTTTAAGTAGTATTTTTTATTTAATCGCATTCAAAATTTGCATGTGCCCTTAAAATTAAATTTAAAACAACTTAATAAATATAAGGTAGTTGTTTTTTTACATACATTACTTACTTTGTTCAAATTACTTCTTCCATTTGTAGTAGTAGCAGCAACTCTAGCACTACTTCTGATACCAGAATCAGATAAACATTTATTTTTGTTGGAAATATTAGGGGCTGTAAATTTATGATGTTTAGGTGCAAACGATTTTGGGATTTCACGTTTGACTGGTTTTATTAGTTTGCCTTTTATTTCTTTGTTAACGTTTTCTAAATTAGGCAAACCAATGCCTTTGTCTATATGGAAGACCTTAAAAATCGGTTTGGAACGTTTCTGTTCTTCTTGTTTTTGTTTAATTTTCTTTTCCTTCCATTGTTTCAACATTTCAATCCTCTTGGTATTAACAACCTCTTTTTTTTCTGGTATTTTTTTATTCACCGGCGTTTCTTTGTTTTTGTTTATCGGTGCAACTGGTGTGAAAGGGGACATGTTATTTGGATCGATGTTTCTATGGTTGAATCTTAACGTATCTCTTGTCACACGTCTTGCATTTATTAATGATTCTTTACGAGCCTGTAAACTTTTTTTTCTGTAGTTTTTATCAACTAAATTCCTTTGCAAATTTTTAAAACCTGTTTTAAAAAAATCCGTTATGTCCATAGTTTCTGAAAAATAAAAATAATACATACAATAATAATTACATAATTTTATTTTGAAAAATTGTTTATATCTTAAATTTCTCTGTAAGCTTTGTTTCTAAGCAATGTTTTAGACACAGCAACTTTAACTAAATTAGTTCAGCAGAAAATCCACTTTACCTAGTGATATGGGCCAGATAAATGCCCAGTGGATGGGTAAGGCAAATAAAAATCAGTATTTACCCCATAAATACATAGTACAGAAGCTGAAATGTCCATTATTTATGTATTTATTGCAATTCTGTATATAATATCGTTATTATGCACACCTTACAAATTTCTAGAGTTTAAAAACTACTGTATGGTAAATAGAATTGGTAAAATAAATACATAGTTTTCATTTTATTGTGAGTTTTATTTACTACTTGTCTTATAAGAAAGCCATTAGCTAAAGGCGTAATTTATAGAGTAACATTGAGACAAACTTATGCTTTTTAAATACAAATATAGAAAGTTAAATGTGGACAATGGTAGAATAATTGTGTTGTTATAATTAAACCAAGCCTAGTATGTTTGGACTGAGGATATTTATAATTCTTATAATACAACATAATTTTTTTTTAAATTGCTATTTAATGAAATTATGCAGGTGATATACCTATAATATATTATTTTCTATAAATTTACACATAAGTGATTTAACACTTGTTAAACATACGTTTTTTTTTATTCAACAAGTCTGGTACCTTTCCTATATTAAATTAAATATTGTCATACTTAATAATTTATAAATACAAGTTTATCATACTTATTGTTAGTAATTTTATACAAATGTTATTACTAAACGATAGATTTCTATCGGACTATCAAAATTTGAAATTATTTTTGCATTAAAGTCTCTTTAAGAAACAAAAATGTAAAAAAAAAGTTGGATCTACTTGATGATACCTAAAAAATGGCTTGTGCATTGTATGATCTTTTTTCGCCTAACCAGAAGTTGCCTGCCCTCAGCTACTCCTTGACCACAAAGGACCAGGCATTTTTCTTATGGAAAAATGACAAATTTTCTGAAATGTCGTAGAAAACATGAATTATAGATTATCTGACAATATTTTATAAAAAGTTACTGTAAAAATTTGTTTGGAAATAAGTAATATGGTTTCATGGCAGAATAGACATCATAGCACCATGAAAATATAGTTTGAAGTAATTGTTTATTGTTGATGCATCATAATTTATACAAGACTAGCTATTGCCCGCAGCTTTGCTCGCATGTAGTGGTGTTATTAATATAAAAAATTAATGACTTCCTGTTTTTATTAATTTTTATTAGTTTTATTGATTTTCATTCATTTTTTTTATATTTATTCATTTTTATACATTTTTATTCATTTTTATTCATTTTTATTCATTTTTATTCATTTTTATTCATTTTTATTCATTTTTATTCATTTTTATTCATTTTTATTCATTTTTATTCATTTTTATTCATTTTTATTTATTTTTATTCATTTATATTAATTTTTATTTTTTGTTATTAATTTTTATTAATTTTAATTAATTTTTATTAATTTCTATTAATTTTTATTAATTTTTATTAATTTTTATTAATTTTTATTAATTTTTATTAATTTTTATTAATTTTTATTAATTTTTATTAATTTTTATTAATTTTTATTAATTTTTATTAATTTTTATTAATTTTTATTAATTTTTATTAATTTTTATTAATTTTTATTAATTTTTATTAATTTTTATTAATTTTTATTAATTTTTATTAATTTTTATTAATTTTTATTAATTTTTATTAATTTTTATTAATTTTTATTAATTTTTATTAATTTTTATTAATTTTTATTAATTTTTATTAATTTTTATTAATTTTTATTAATTTTTATTAATTTTTATTAATTTTTATTAATTTTTATTAATTTTTATTAATTTTTATTAATTTTTATTAATTTTTATTAATTTTTAATAATTTTTATTAATTTTTATTAATTATTAATAATTTTTGTTAATTTTTATTAATTTTTAATAAGTTTATTAATTTTTAATAATTATTTGTTTATTTTAGTATATTTTTATGATACTACCATACAAAAATCTAACCACAGATCACGTCATTATTTATTTATGCTACAATTATAATTTTCAAGTTCCAACGTTCAAAAAATTTATACTTCTATACAAATTTTTACCCCCGTTTCCCCCCCTTAAAATGTGAAAATTCAAAAACCATGAAACGCATCATTTTTGATTTTTAATCAGTAGCTGTAATTAAAATTTTAATGTTTCAAACTTTAAATAACAAAAAATATATACATACTATTAAACAAATTCCCCTCCCCCATTTCCCCCCTTAAAATGTTAAAATGCAAAAATTCTTAAACACATCATTATTTATTTATGATGAGAACCTACAATTCCAATTTTCAAGTTCCTACCTTTAAAAAAATCGATATCTCCAAATAAACTTTCACCCTCATTCCCCCCCCCCCCCCCCCTTCCCCCCTTAAAATGTGAAAATCCAAAAACCCTAAAACACGTCATTATTAATTTGTATTCATTAGCTGCAATTCCAATTTTCATGTTTCTCACTTTAAAGAAAACAATAAACAGATACTTCCAAATAAATATTTTCACCCCCCATTTCCCCCCCTTAAAATGTGAAAATCCAAAAACCCTGAAACACGTCATTAATAATTTGTAGTCAGTAGCTTCAATTCCAATTTTCATGTTTCTAACTTCAAAGGGAACAAAAAAAATCAATAGTCCCATACGAACTTTCACCCTCCGTTTTCCTCCCTTAAAATGTGAAAATTGAAAAACCCTGAAACACGTCATTATTTATTTATGCTTAGTAGCTGTAATTTAAATTTTCATGTTTCTAACTTTAAAGAACAAAGAGTTTCATTAAAAGCTCCCTCCCCCATTTCTCCCCTTTAAAGTTAAAATTTTGAAAAATCCTTTCTTAGCGGATGCTTACGTTATAAAATAAACCTATGTTCCATATTTCAGCTTTCTAGGCTCAGTAGTTTTGGCTGTAGGTTGATAGGTCAGTCAGTCAGTCAGGACAAACAATTTTATATACACTGTGTCGCATTTAAGATGAAGACACCCCTATATTTTGGCTATCTAAAAGTTGTTTTTTTTTTTTATTCGATAAACTAGTGTGCCATGATTGACATTATTGATTTCACAAGTGTCAAAATATTTCTATCCATGGCACGTTAGTTTATCGAATAAAAGAAAACAACTTTTAATAATTTTTTGTGTATTGACCAAACTAATGAAAAAACTAAAAATGCGAATTTTGTCATGAAATTTGGTATGTGGGGTTAGAATAATATTCGGAACAACTTTTTCAAATACCTTTTTCTTATATCTCTAACGCGAAGAAAAATATCGAAAATTGACGTTGTTTGTGGATTCGCAGTAGGTCGCGTTTAAAATTTAAATTTCAGTTGAGTATCTTAAAAAATGTGAACCATCACCCTGTATGATTGTGCAAAACTTCAAATCTGTATTTATTTAGACATACAAAATATAGGGGTGTCTTCATCTTAAATGCGACACACTGTATATATAGATATAGATGACTCTTAAATGTGGTTACAGAGGACATATATTGTGTTACAACTTTAATGAGTCACCCTGTATAAACGATTTGCCTGAATTTCTTGTATTACATTAAATAAATGTACAACCTATCACGCTATGTCATACAGGATATTAAACAGATGGCAAAAACTTTAAAAATGAGAAAAACAGTTTACCACTTTCTAAAAAAAAAAAATGACAAAGAAAGAATTATCACTGAATATATTATTATATAAAAATGAAACTATTAATTTAGGATAAAGCCCAAGTTTTAATAGATTTTAACCTAAATCTTCCACAATTTAAAATTAATTGTAATCTATCCGTTTCAAAAAATGTATATGAAAATAAATAGGAAATTCATGTTTCAGTTTCACATTGGTCCATGAGGTATACAGAAAGGCCTTCTTTTTTTTATTTGAAGAGAATGTCATGATATTTTATGATTTGCTAAATAAGATACATTTATTTATATTATTTAATAATAATAATAATAATCTCCCTAATATTGAAATAGAGATGATATAAACAATATAAAACGAAAAGTTAATTGAAATTATTACATTTTAATAATTTTAAAAGAAAACAGGGGACATAGCAGCAAGGGTAGTACAGGAAGAGGACTAAGACCAGGTAGGAGAGGTATACCAATAAATAACTTTATTTATCAAAGAAAATATCATACAATAATTCAAAATAAACATAAAACTTAACATAACTGTCCCTCATACATATAATAAAAAAAAGAGAAAAAACAGAAGAATAAAAAAACAGTAATCTAGGTATTTAACATGACAGATTGGTTAAAAATATAACAAGTAAAAGAAAAGAGAAAAAGAATAATTTTCAACAATATAATTCATAAATTATTTCTAACATAAATAGTAAGTTCTTTCTTAAATTGACTAAGATTCTGAGCATTTTTAATGATTAAATTGATCGCTCTCTTCATGAAATAAGCTTTTCATAGAACTACTTTTAGTAGTTGTTTGTATTATAAAATTTTGCTGCTGTTGTGTTTCTTTGATGTATTTCTGTGACCAGGTTTAGTTGATAATTAAGATATTCAGGCAACAAATTCTTTATTATTTTAAATATAAAAATCACTGTTTGTACATATAGCAGTTTTTCAACACAGCCTATTTAAGGTGTCTAACATAAACTAAATACTGGTATATTTGTTACAACCTAGTATCACTCAGATCGCTTTGTTTTGTAGGACCTGTAGTCTATCAAAATTGGAACATCCTGTATATATTAAAGAACAGCAATAGGAATAAGTGTATTATATACAGTCAATTTAGTTGAAATTGATAGATACGGTAACACTCTTTGTAAAAATCCTATTTTTTTTACTTTTTTACAGATATACTCAATGTGTTTATTAAATTTTAGTTCTCTATCCGACATAACTCCTAAATACTTTATTTCTTGGACCATTTCTACTGTTTCGTTATTTATTTTAACTTGAGCAAAATCATCCCCATAATAATAGATAAACATGTCATCTGTAAAATGTATTTTACATTTTTTAAGAACCTGTCTCAAGTCATATACATACAGTATGAATATTAAGGGTCCAAGCAAAAGTATTTAATTCTGGATTTGATACCTCATTATTATTTTAGTTACTTGATATCTATTTAATAAGTAATTATACAACCAATCATAGACAGTTTCCCAAATCCATATTTTTTTAATTTTTGAAATAGAAATGTTACAATCATTTCAAATGCACATTTAAGATCAATAAAAACTCCTGGTTTATCAAGAATATTTTTCATATCTGAAACAACTAATTTTAAAGACTCACAAGAATGTGCTTTCCTAAAGCCCGATTGATAACTGCATAGTATTTTATTTGAAATTAAAAAATCCATGATTTCATTGTACACAACTACTTCTTAAAGTTTTTCACAAAATGGAAGCATATTTATGATATCTGATAAAAAGTCAGAATATTTAAATATTATCATTGAGGTTATTAATTTTGAGATTTGTAGAGGACCAAACAAAGTTTAGGGTAACAATTTTTAATCACTGCTAATAATTAGATCCCTTTTAAAAATATTATAATATAGTATATGTCATTCGGTTTCTTCTTAAATAAGTCCTAACACATTTCACACTTTACTCTTCTTGTTTGTAAAGAAATTATGCAGTCATCATTGACAGTAAAAGTACCCTTTTCAAAATGTTTATCAAGCATCCCTATGTATTATAAAGCTTCAACCCACTTTAAACTAAGGAACAATTCATCAGAGCAGGCTGTACAACAGGCTGTTAAAATGTTATCTTAGTTTAAACTGTGAACCTCATCACTATACAATCATCGGTTATCGTTAAACATAGTTCAATATAACCAGTTAAAAATCAAATTGCTGTTAGCTAAACTGAGTTAACAGCATTCTTTGTACAACCTGCCCTCATACAGCTTAATCCTAGGGTACCATATATTGATGTTTGCTTTGGATTTAATGGGAATAATTGCCCTAACTGCTTGTTTGGCTTAATTTGATATATTAATAGCAATTTGTTTAATATATGGAATATAGTTTTTTTTTGTTTACAATAGCCAATTCTACAAGTAGGTACATAGGTACTTATGCTTAGTTTTTTTTATAAGTAAAAAATGGTCAAGTCAAATTAGATAGTAACCCTCAAATATGTGTTGCTTTAAATACATCCACCTCAAAATGAACAAATAGTTCAATCACCATAAAAAAATGACAAAAAACCGTTGGTATCGTCGATAACCTTCAGCATAGAAGACTAGGTTTGCTATAAATGTAAAAAGTGGAAGTGGACTCATATACTTACAGATATTGGCATACTCGCTTTAAACTAGTTTTTTTACGGTTTGTTTTATCTAAATACTCAGTATATATTATAATAAAATAAAAGCAAATTGTTATCAGTCAACCACCACTAAATGGATTTAATTGCATGTAAATTTTAAATAATAACGAAATCAAGATGTGGAGGAAAACAAGATGTGGAGAAATTTCAAAACGAAGATGAATATAAATTTATAGTGTTACTTAATAGAAGATAAATTTATAAATAAATATAAAATTAAACAGGCGCTATAATTACCTGAAATCTTCGCAAATATTGAACGTTAATATGTAATAATTAAACAAACTCTACATTTAGGCACAAATACAAATACACAGTTCGGCGTTGTTTAGCCTTGCGTCGGTTGAAAATTAAAATTGATGTATGTCACAGAACATGATGTATGTTCAAATTTCAAATAACCGTTATTTTTCTATGCCGTCAACCTTCCTTCATGCGTAGGAGCACAGAACCGTAGGAGAGTCTAAATGCTGGGGTGCGTTCAGAAATGTAGGGTAAATGCGTCCGGACGTTGTCTAAATTCTAAAAAGCGTTTCTAAATATGGAACGTTTTATCTGGACGAATTCCCCAGCCGTTCCTATTTAAAAGAAAAACGCGTCGGGATGAAGAAATTTTACCCATCGTGTTGAGTAGGGTAATTTTTACTCGACTTGTGCAGTATGGGTCATTCGCACCGCTTCAGAATAAATGTCCTCTTAGTAAAGTGAAACTTATTATTTAAGTATTACTTATCGTAGTTTAATTCGCACCAGCCTATTAGAAAGCAACGATTAATTAAGTGTCGGATTGATTTGGCAACGTCAAGATTTTTCTAGAAAAAGAAGAACTAATGTCAAATTTGAATTTTATTTTGCTGCGTTCAATGAGTGTATCGGATTCTTGCTGCGATTGGGGTAGCGGGATCAGCTTACTGAACGGTACGCTCAATTTACAAAAACTAAATTTGTGTCGAACGATAATTCTAATTTAATGAAACGTAGTATTTGCAATTAAAAGTGAATTTGTTTATTTGTCACTTGGAGTTTTCATCAACAATTTACAATAATTTTAATATTTAAGTATTTTTTTTATTATTATCACATTAATACACAACCAGGTTGTTCTTCTAGCAATCGTAAATAGCGATTGGTTTTAGGCGTTTTAGGTTAATTTTAAGAGGTTTCCCGCTCATCTTTCTTGATAGAAGCAGAAACTAGCGCAAAAATGAAACGCTCCCAAATGATACGGATTGATATAAAGCAATACGTATCGTAAAACGAAAGCGATTGGTATCGGTTGGGATTGTTATGTCTCAGTGAACGCAGCAAAAGTTATGATTGTCACAGGCGCAGAAGAGAAAAAACTCTCTCCTGTGTCACAGGACTATTTAAAAAAAATAGATGAACTAAGAAGTAATAAAATAGGGCACGAAGTACAGCCATAATGAGAGTAAAATTAGTATTAATCATAGCCCTCAGAAGGTCTAGATACCGCATCGTAAAAACATTTTGACCCCCCATATGATGGGCGCCATGATAAATAAATGTCAATAAATTTTAAGTTGGCACTACTGACAAGACAGAATCGGCGCAAGTTTAGTAATAAGCGTAAGATCGGCGTTCGACGTATATAATCGATTTTATTATCTGTTGTGTTGTTTATTTTGTTCTTCTAGTAAAGGTTTTATTTAAAACATTATTTTTTAGTTTAGTCGTTTAGTGTTTTATTTTAATAAAAAACATTTGTGGTTTGGTGTTAAATTTTTACAGGATTTTCAAAATCTCTTTTTGTTTTGTACGTGAATGTAACAATGCATCTAACGGTAGAAGATACAAGGAAGGAATAACATTTCATGTGTAAGTTTTCACAAATATTTGTGTATTTACAAAATCAAATAATTTGTATGTTTTGTTGTAGCATACCAAAAAATGTTAGGAAAGAATAACTGATAGCCATAGGAAGACCATTGAATCATTTTGTGACTTTAGTATAAGCCCAGAAAATTTGGGGATACTAGCTGAAACGGCAAATGTGTTATTGGCTCCTTGTTAGTGACCTATTGTACAATTTTTCCAACACAAATTCCATTATCCTTTGAACTTGGCTGCACCGTACTGATGAAGACCAATAGTCAGAAAAACGTGTCGACCGTTACTTCTTTTTTACTTTTTTTTATTCGGAAAATGTCCACTATTACTACCTTGATACAATAATATTAGTTCCGTTCTAAGTAGGTACATATTATAGTTTGTATGTTTTATGCTTTATTTTATTATATGTAATAAATGATAGGAAATATACTATTATAGTAAATAAATTGATTAAAGCAATATGTAAGAATACGTTTATCTAAGGATTAAATTGTTAAAGCAATTTTTCATATCCATTGTTTATTAATTTGTTTCATTTAATTCTTTCTTATTGAGTAAGTTATTTCATATAAATATGCGATACTTGTAAAATGTAATATTTTCTTTTAAATAGGTATATATTATGTTCGTATAAAATATTGTTCAGTTAATAAAAACAGAAATATTTTGTCTTTTATTCAAAAGAAATTTGTAAATTTTTCAAAATATATTTACCTACCCCAAAAAAAGATTAATAAAACCAGTTAGTCATATACACATTTTCTATATATTTATAGAGGTACTTTTTAAATAACTTTCAATACATTCGAAATCTGTGGTTTTATTAAACTCAATGTAACAAATAATAATAGGTATTCTCAAAAATATTTAAAAATAAAATCGAGATGGGACTCTTGTATAATTTAGTGACTATTCGCCTATGGATAGTGCACTGCTGTATGTCCCTGGGTTTTCTACATTAGAACAATACTGCTTCTCCACTCTAGCAGTATTTTTTGCATCTCAGATTATATTTATTAAAAAAACCAAGGAATTGTTTTGGGCCTATTGCTGGGCCCTTTTCCAACATTCCCAAAGTTTTTTTTTTACTTTCTGCTGATTGGATCTCCGATAGCGACAACTCCATTTGTTGTTCCACTAGTTTTTTTATCAAATTTTTAAAATAACTTCTATATATTTATCTTTTGCAATGACTTTGCTTACCTGCTTCATAATCTCTTCCCTATGCCCCAATTTCTCTAACAGGTGAGATCTTATACTCGCTCTATTAAATCAAATTATCATAGTTTATTTGAAAATGCTTGGTAGCACAGTTTTTATGGCAAAGGTCCATATTTTTATATAATTTTGCTATTATTCATTTTCAAATAAACTATAGGAATAGGAGTAATCTATTAGTTTTTCTAAAAATACCTTGTTACCGATGTAAGTATATCTTTCCCTAGTTAAAAAATTCGAGTTTTTATTTTCATAATATAATATAAATAAATGACCGGTTAACAATCACATTCTTTTAAATAGTACATTTGACATTGAAGTAGGTATTTTCTCCATATTGCCAAACAGGAACAGATGGTTTACTTGTAATTTGAATTATATTACATAAATCTCACTGAATTTCTCTATAATTCTCATAGCAATATGTACACAAACCACTTATCCCATAATATATAACCATGTAAAAATTACATTTCAAGAACGAGAAATTTTATAAAACCGGTCCTGTCTAAACAGATCTAGGAAAATCAAATAGGTTTGTCAAAGTTTTGTTCTTAATTTGAAATTAGAAATTGTGCGTCTCACTCACTTATAACTAATAACAAAGTGCAGATTATCGGTGTTCACGTATTACAGAACACACAAACTAAAAATCAGTGTAGCCAAAACATAAATTTACCTAACATGGCGACAAGCTTGAATGGGGTCATTTTTTTGTATTGACAGTATACGCCAAGCGGTATCTAGACTTTCTGAGGGCTATGGTATTAATTCAATGCTAATTTTTCAAAAAAGAATCACAAAAAAAAAACACTTTTTATAAAAATGGTTATAATTGTGTTGTCTGTAAAAATATTTGAGTTTGAAACCTACATATTTATTATAAGGATACTATAAATTTGCTTTAATTTCATCAAGGCAATTAAGAATTTTCTTCGGCCAATTCAAATCGCAGTGTAAAAGAAATCGTTTTTTGTATATATTATGTTATATTCTTAATCAAGCATTTTCAAAGCCTCATCATCTTCCATTATTTCCATTTTGTGTATTGCAATTTTACAAATGTTATAAATCAATGACACAATGACAGTCAACATCACTCAAAATTATAAAAATTAAACATTTTAAGGTTAAGTAATGGTTTAAGCTGAAAAATTTCTGGGCTTAGTAAAGTGATTCTTAACGCCTTAATAAGTGGAACTTTAATAACGGTGCAAACGGTTATGCCTTCTTAAGTGTCACTTAGATGCTAAGTAAAAGCGGTGCGAATGGCCCTAGAGAACCACCTAGTATTTTATTTCCTATTTTTACTTTTTGAGTAAAACATATTTAAATATGAGTATGAGTGAGAGAATTAATTCCATCAATTATCGTCTAGTTGTCGAAAACGATGGTAATTTTATTATACAAAATGATAAAATTTTATGACACAGGTAATGAATTGAATTTTTACATAAAAAAGTCTATGTTGACGTCAATGATGTTACCTATTTACTAATTTTTGATAATTCCTACAATATCAGATAACAGAAAAGACATAACCAAAAACTTGATTTGACAATACTTTGCAATTACCGTTCGTATTTATCGGGAAAAAATAAACGTTCCGACGAATTTTGTCCGGACGATTGAAAATTTGACGCTCTTCATTTCTGAACGCACCCTGACCCATAGAAAAATCTAAAATCGAAGTTTGGTTATGTCATTGTATTTAGAATGTGCGTTCGGTCTGCCAAGTTCCTTTAACTCCTTTAACACTTTTAACTCCAAACGACCCTTTTAGCGTTCGGTTTAGTCCGATTAGTGACAGTTTAACACGCTTAAATGTCATTTACAAGCACCCTAAAATTTGTCCCGCTCCAGCCCCTGACTGACCGAACTCGCCTAGAGAAGATAGTAGAACAACCTTATGGACGTTTCATTCATTGCGTTCGGTTTGCCACGTTCCTTTAACTCCTTTAACACTTTTAACTCCAAACGACTCTTTTAGCGTTCGGTTTAGTCCGATTAGTGACAGTTTAACACGCTTAAATGTCATTTAAAAGCACACTAAAATTTGTCCCGCTCCAGCCCCTGACTGACCGAACTCGCCTATTGGAGGCGATGAACTGACTCCAGTTCATTGATTGGAGGCAATTCTGTCGCGACATCTGTTAGAAATTCATCAAAATAGCCCGAACGCTAGGGCTTCCTCGATCATTGAGTATAGAATTCTATATACATAAAAAAAAATTAATTTTTAAATTCATATGGGTAGAGTGCCAACTTTAAATTGCTATTGTTTATAATCTCTAAAATGATGATAAATTGTAAATAAATGTTTATCAATGTTTAATTAAACTCGTATATCTCATTTTTAAAACAAATATTCTGAATCGATTATCGGTCCATCTATTAGTAAATAGGGAAATTACGTTCGTTAGGAAGACGACAAAATTATCAAAGACATGACTTGGACACCACGGAGCTTGCTGCCATCTATTGATACTGTCCATTGTCCTCCAAGATAATTTGCATTGGTATTTGGTATGCCTAATTGTTTTACATTGGTATATATACTGGGGTTTTACTAGGTTATGTTCAAGGGGTTCAAGGTTTATAATCATAATCAGTACTTATTATTTTACAATTATCTTATAATTTATGCATTTATAGAAAAAATTCTATAGGTCATAAAAGTATTTAATCACATTGAACTCAAATATTTTTTATTTCTCTCCTTATTTATCAGGAAAATTAAGATTAGGTTATGTGTGGAAAACAAAACTTGAAATTAAAATGACTCTGCTAAACAAAATTTGTTCACTATACAATGGATTGCTAAAAAACCATTTAGTCCTAGTGCAAAGTGTACAAACAGGCATTTTGTGCGGAACTGGGGATATTATTGCACAAACGGTAGCAGAGAAAAAATCATTGAGGGACATTAATTTACACAGAACGGGTGTCTTCGTAGCATTAGGATCAGGTTTTATAGTAAGTTTGCTGTATTATTTGTAAATAAAGTACACTATCTAATACCAGTACTTGCTGAATATAATGGATACAAGATATTTTTTAATATTAGTTTTTTAGGGCCCCACAATTACAATATGGTATAAATTTTTATCAAGAACTCTTGGGGATAAAGGCAAATATATAGCTCTGAAAAAAGTTGCTGCAGACCAATTGCTGTTTGTCCCACCTTTTCAAATATGTCTCGTTTCGGCCATCAACACCTTACAGGGCCGTGATTTCGAGTTCACTAAGGATCAGTTACGACTTAAGTATACAGACATTTTAATAGCTGGTTACAAATTGTGGCCTGCAGTGCAGATAGTTAATTTTTATTTTGTTCCTCTGGGTTATCAAGTTTTAGTGGTGCAGTGTGTGGCTCTATTTTGGAACTCCTACTTGTCTTGGAAAACGCAATTAGGGATCGAAACACAATGAAAAGTATTATTTATTTTTATTATCTATTATAATATAAGATCTAAGTATAAAATATATTATAGAATGTTAAAAATATTTATTTATTTTTTTAAAAGCAAATTCAATTTGGTTAAAATGCAATTGAATGCAATAAAATATTGATAACTTAGAAAATAAGAAAATTCACATAATATATACAGATTAGGGTGGCCCAAAAAAACGACTATTTTTATTTAGTCTAGTACAAAAATATGTTAATTTATCGTTTTTTAAGACTCCCCTCCAAAGGGCAGCTCAAAAAAAATTTTTTAGGGGTCGCTCAAGATTTTTCAAAATTAGTCAAAATTAGACTTTTTTTATTTTTTTTTTAGTCCAATTAAATAGACCTTTAAATCAAAATTTTGGAGGAAATACAAGAATTTTTGATATAAGTTACTTAAAAGTATTTAAAAACGATATGTAAAAAAATTTTGTTTTTCAGGCACCGGCAAATGTCAAAAAACAAGAAAATAAAGTGTTTTTTAAGGTTATTTAAAAACGGTAGGTGTTATGAAAAAAAGTTTTTAATAAAAATTGTAAAACATAAAGTTCTACATAAAAATGATGTTTGACATTTTTTGATATTATTAAAACTGACAGAGTTAGGGTGGTTAGAAATTAAGAGGAGATATATATGACTTGAAAAAATCATAGCGAGCTAAAAATTCAATGATTTTGTAGTTTCTTTTTATTATATACTCAGAAAACTATAAATTTCTTTTAAGAAAAATTATTTATTTTGTTTTTTTAAGTTATAACAATTTTAATTTAGAAATTTTCAATATATTATATGAATTTATATGGTAAAATAAATTTTGAAGTAAACTTATTAGCTTGACTGACATGAAAAATATGAGGAGTGAACTAATAACAATGACATCCCGACAGTTTGGTGCCCACTTGAAGTGCCATTAAATAAATAAAAATAAAAACAAATAAAAAAGAACTAAATATTAATAAAAATAAAGATAATAAAAAATGAATCAATAAAAATAGGCAAATTAAAAAATATATAAAAATAAGTAAATAAAAATAAACATATAAATAAAATTAAACAAAAATAAATATATAAATAAAATTAAACAAAAATAAATATATAAATAAAAATAAATACAAATAAAAAAAATAAAAATAAATAAAAAAAAATAAAAATAAATAATAATAAATAAATACAAATAAATAAAAATAAATATAAATAAATAAAAATCAATAAAAATAAATAAGAATAAATAAAAATAATTATAATTAAATAAATAAATAAAAATTAAAATAAAAAAATATTTAAAAAATAAACAAAAAATTTAAATAAATAAGAATAATAAAAAATAGTTAAAAAAATTAAATAAAATTAGGTAAATTATTAAAAATTAAAAATAAATAAAATTAAACAGAAATAAATGAAAAAATAAGTGTAAAAGAAAATAAATAAAAATAAATAAATAAAAAAAAGTTTTTAATAAAAATTGTAAAGCATAAAGTTTTACATAAAAATGGTATTTGACATTTTTTGATATTATTAAAACTGACAGAGTTAGGGTGGTTAGAAATTAAGAGGAGATATATATGACTTGAAAAAATCATAGCGAGCTAAAAATTCAATGATTTTGTAGTTTCTTTTTATTACATACTCAGAAAACTATAAATTTCTTTAAGGAAAAATTATTTTTTTTGTTTTTTTTTTAAGTTATAACAATTTTAATTTAAAAATTTTCAATATATTATACGAATTTATATGGTAAAATAAAATTTGAAGTAAACTTATTAGCTTGACCGACATGAAAAATGAACTAAATAAAAATATTAAAAATAATTAAAATAAAGATAATAAAAAATGAATCAATAAAAATAGGCAAATTAAAAAATATATAAAAATAAGTAAATAAAAATAAATATATAAATAAAAATAAATACAAATAAATAAAAAAAATAAAAATAAATAAAAATAAATAAAAAAAAATAATTATAATTAAATAAATAAAAAAAGATATTTAAAAAATAAACAAAAAATTTAAATAAATAAAAATAATAACAAATAGTTAAAAAAATTAAATAAAATTAGGTAAATTATTAAAAATTAAAAATAAATAAAAATATATAAAAATAATTAAAAAAAATAAATAAAAATAATTAAAAATAGTTAAAAAAATTAAATAAATAGAGGTAATTTATTAAAAATAGAAATTCAACAAAAATAAATAAAAATAAATGAAAAGATAAATAATGTAAAAGAAAGTAAATAAAAATAAATAAGAATGAATAAAAATAAAAAATATTTATTTTTATTTATTTATTTATAAAAAATAAAATGACAAATATTTTAAAAAATTAAATAAAAATAGGTAAATTATTAAAAATAGAAATTAATAAAAATAAATAAAGTGACAAATATTTAAAAAAAAATAAATAAAAACAGATAAATTATTAAAAATAAAAATTAATTAAAATTAAACGAAAATAAATAAAAATAAATAAAAAAAATAAAAATAAATATTTTTTATTTTTTTTATTTATTTTTTTTTTTAATTCTTTTTATTTATTTATTTATTTTTATTTATTTTCGTTTAATTTTAATTAATTTTTATTTTTAATAATTTATCTGTTTTTATTTAATTTTTTTTAAATATTTGTCATTTTATTTATTTTTATTAATTTCTATTTTTAATAATTTACCTATTTTTATTTAATTTTTTAAAATATTTGTCATTTTATTTTTTATAAATAAATAAATAAATAATTAAAAATAAATATTTTTTAGTTTTATTCATTTTTATTTATTTTTATTTACTTTCTTTTACATTATTTATCTTTTCATTTATTTTTATTTATTTTTGTTGAATTTCTATTTTTAATAAATTACCTCTCTTTATTTAATTTTTTTAACTATTTTTAATTATTTTTATTTATTTTTTTTAATTATTTTTATATATTTTTATTTATTTTTAATTTTTAATAATTTACCTAATTTTTTTTAATTTTTTTAACTATTTGTTATTATTTTTATTTATTTAAATTTTTTGTTTATTTTTTAAATATTTTTTTTTTATTTATTTAATTATAATTATTTTTATTTATTTTTATTTTTTTTATTTATTTGTATTTATTTTTATTTATATATTTATTTTTATTTACTTATTTTTATATATTTTTTAATTTGCCTATTTTTATTGATTCATTTTTTATTATCTTTATTTTAATTATTTTTAATATTTTTATTTAGTTCATTTTTCATGTCGGTCAAGCTAATAAGTTTACTTCAAATTTTATTTTACCATATAAATTCGTATAATATATTGAAAATTTTTAAATTAAAATTGTTATAACTTAAAAAAAAAACAAAAAAAATAATTTTTCCTTAAAGAAATTTATAGTTTTCTGAGTATGTAATAAAAAGAAACTACAAAATCATTGAATTTTTAGCTCGCTATGATTTTTTCAAGTCATATATATCTCCTCTTAATTTCTAACCACCCTAACTCTGTCAGTTTTAATAATATCAAAAAATGTCAAATACCATTTTTATGTAAAACTTTATGCTTTACAATTTTTATTAAAAACTTTTTTTTATAGCACCTACCGTTTTTAAATAACCTTAAAAAAACACTTTATTTCCTTGTTTTTTGACATTTGCCGGTGCCTGAAAAACAAAATTTTTACATATCGTTTTCAAATATTCTTAAGTGACTTATATCAAAAATTCCTGTTTTTCCTCCAAAATTTTGATTTAAAGGTCTATTTAATTGGTCTATTTGCTTGTAACGGTAGAATGTTGTGCCCCTAAAAAGAAAAGATGTCTCATATTTAGCTCAAAATATGACTCTTTAACAGTCGCTCATAATTTTTTATATACAACATTATTGCTTTTGATGTTTTCGAGCGACCTTTAAATCTTAATATTAAGAATTTATTTCAATGTTTGCTTTTAAGTAGCAAGGTAATAGATCAGAATTCATCACGAGACAGAAAAAAAATCCAATACAACAACGAAAGCATAATTTAATAAATCTAATTTTAAAATTTTTAAAAATCTAGAGCGAAACCTAAAAAAATGTTTTTTGAGACTTTTGAGAAAAAAAATATATATATACAGAAAAAATCAACCCTTAATTCTATGTTTAACTGAAATGTGTATAACTAGTGAGTTTGGGGATTCTGAATTATGGATTAAAGGGTATAACTTAGCCTGATGTGATTCAAGTAGTCAACACACTGGGAGAGGTCTAATATTTACCAAAACATTTTTAAAAGTGTCAAATATAAAAACTTTAATCATTGATATGAATCTTTGGTTGTTACCTATAGAAGTTAGAGTGAATGGTACTAGATACAGTATAGCAGGTGTTTATAGGTCCTCCAAGGCTAACATTACCCTATTCTTTAAATCCTTTTATTTTTGACATAAAATCTTTATAATTTATTTAAAAGCTACGACATTTTCCTGTTAAAATTAACGATTATGATTATAAAAGCACCCTGACTCGAGTTATTGCGTAGTTTGTTAAAAAGTTAGGGGTTTTGGCAGAAAATAACTCGAATTGAGGCAGTTTCAGATACAGTTTGTTGCTAGATTTTAAATGATTTTCGGGCATCTCTATAGATATTTTGGTTTGTGGCTGTATTTAAAATAAAAACTCAATATTTTGTTTTTGATTGAGCCATCGATGTGAAAATAATGGGATAAAACAATTAATTACTGAATTTACTAGAGTATATAAAAAATTACATAATATCAGATCATATCATTATACAAGTCAAAATACAAAATTTAAATATTAATCTACAGGAAACTAAAAAAAAAAAAATCGTATTAATATAAATTATGATAAAATCGTCAACATCTTGATTAAAAAGGATTGGGGATATTCTGTAGTTGTTGTTCTAGCAGATATTTTTCTAGATAATGTATTATCAGTCATTCATTTTATAGCTCCTACAAAATATATTCAAGTAAACAATAAGTGGTTTGACAATAAATGCAAAAAAGC